CAAAAGAGAGTACAAGAGTAGCAACAAGAAGCTTAACCAAACATATCAGAGATTATCGGCTTTGTGTTGCATACGCGCTCTTATAATCAAAGTGTTAGTAAGAAGACTTTAACTTCCTGTCCTTTAGGTTATATTGTGGCACATTTTTAAATGCTAGTCTGCTGAACGCTTACTTGTAAGGGCACAGGTGAGAATTTTTTTTTTCAAAATAAACACCTTATATAGAACAAAGACAACAAAATGCAGGTATTATGGCCACTGCCAAAGACTTTCATGTTAAGAAATGCTCTGGGTTATGAGTAAGTGGTTTAAACAACAGTCGTTCCTGGTGGAAAACAACAAAAACACAAACCAGCCAAAGGTGGTGGCACAGCTGGTAGTCTGGCCAGGTTGGTGTGATTTGGTGGGGTTTTGCGTATTTATCAGCTTATGAAACTGAAAGACCAGTTGGCCAAAACACCAGCTGCTTAATATATCTACAACCGGTGACCCACCTTTGGCTAATTGAAGTTGTTTCATTCAGCTGGGAAGGGGGCAAGATAAAACATCTTACTTGACTATACAACATTGTTGATGTACAGCTGCGCTGCAGTTGTAAAGGTGTCTGGTCATTGTCTGACGAGTGCTGTTGTGTGGCAGGTATTCTGGAGTTTATCAGTCTGGCCGTCGGGCTGGTGAGCATACGAGGCGTGGACGCTGGTCTTTATCTGGGAATGAATGAGAAAGGTGAACTCTATGGGTCGGTAAGTCAAACCCCTGTAGTGCTCACACACACACCAAACAACATCCAGCAACAGAAGGTTCTGCTCTATGAAGTGTTCCAATAGGAATGCAGTCAGAGCTGGAATGAGGAGCAAACGACAACCCACCCACCGGCTCATAGTCTGTTCCCCATATGATGTAGATGTACAAAAAAGAAAACACTTCACCAGACAAAACAAGCAGTGTTTCCACTGCTGCGAGCCCTGACCTCTGATCGGCGAGGTCTGTGCGTGGCTCACCTTGTTTTTGTCTTTGTAACTTTCCACACGAGAACAACCTCTCAGACAGCACGCTCAATCTCAGAGAAGAAAAACTGCCTCTTCATTTCGTTCCATACTTAAAATATTTACATATTTTCCAGGGACACATGAAGCGTGTAACGTATACACACCCACATATCGTGGATATATGAGCTGAGTGCTCTTGGTTTCTTGCATATCTGTGTGCTGTGCGAGGACCACGCTTTTCTCCGCTGGAGTACTAATTGTAACCGAGACCAGGAGATAAAAGCATGTAGCGGGATTTGACTTTTTGCATGCTAACATAGAGAACCATATATAGGAAAATGCGCCTGGCCTCCCCCTCTGCAGACTTTGCCATGCTTGCAGGAGAAACAAGCTATCAGATTTCCAGAGACAATAAGCAGGGGCCCCAGTAAGTTTCTGTGGATCCTGAGTTAAAACAAACCTATTTAAAGCAAGGAGAGATGACTTCACATGCAATGCGATAACATCCCATTAAAACAGACTGTAAACACAGGTCAGAACTGCAAATCACCTGAAGACTTCTAGGTTCACTGCACAGACTTAAAAGGTCCATTTCTGTTGCATGAAGATCAAAGAAGTTTACCATCACTGGTGGTTAGGATTTATACATTATGTAAATCCTGTGCATGGAGCAGTGTTTAATCCAAACAGCACACTACCTAATTGAAACGGCATAGAGACCATCAGTAATCTCACTGCTCCTGGAGAGGTATTCCAGTTGTTTTAAATGATTTTGTTTTCTGAAACTTTTAGTTGATAACTTTTTTCTGTCTTACTCTATTTGCTTGGCCAACTGTTTAAACGATTTAACAGAACTTTTAAAGTTGACTTTATCTTAAACACTAATTTTAAATGTATAATCTTGACACCAAGACTTGAACCTGGTCCACTGCATGACTGTTCTTTGGCAGGAAACATGATGTAGCCCCAGTGTCTTCTATTGTTCTCAGCAGTGTAGTCAGCCAGCGAATGTTCACCTGCTTAACCCGAAGCCGTCGCTCATGAAGTTCTGTCAGTGGTGTAGTAGTAGCAGCCCACACAGACTCTCTCAAGCTGCCGTGTTTGTGCGAGAGAGCTTGTTGCATCATGGGGGAAGCAGACAAAAAGGTTAACAGTTTTGAAGAATGATTTTGGGTGTAAACTGCAAAGCTTGCCCGTAATGACTTTCCCTTCTCTGGTGAAGCGAGCACCTGCTGTCTGGCCTCAAGATAGTTTCCACTCCACACATTTTGAGATGGTGACAAGGGTAAACTGTGCACTGTGAGAAAGAAACAGTACCACGTCTTCACACCCTCATGCTTTCCAGCCCATCTGGAGGTCTGGAAATGGGAGGCGCATGCTAGTTCTTAAACATGTGGTCAAATGCACTTAAACTGGACTCTTGATGGACAGAGGGAAGATTACTAGCTAGAGAACACACCATTTTGGTTGGGACTTTTCTGGGTCAGGCCAGGAAAGCAGTTTCCCACTTTGATTCACATTTTACATCGGGGTGTCCAATCCTGTTTCTGGAGGGCTACCATCCTGCAGATGTTAGCTTCAACCCCAATTAAACACACCTGAGCTAGCTAATCAAGGTCTTGCCAGTCATACTAGAAGCATCCAGGCAAGTGAGTTGAGGCAAGTTGGAGCCAAAATCTGCAGGTCAGTGGTCCTCCAGGATAAAGTTTGGACACCCCTGTCTTACATTTTGTCTTAAATGGTTTGTGTAGATCAGGAGTGCCAAATCCCTCTCTTGGAGGGCCACCTTCTTGCAGAGTTTTGCTTGACCTTGCTCCAACACACCTGTCTGGATGTTTCTAGTAATCCTGAACACCTTGATTGGTTGGTTCAGGTGTATTTAATTGGGGTTGAAGCTAAACTCTGTAGGCAGGTGGCCCTCCGAGGGCAGGACTGGAAACCCCTGGTATAGATGAAGCTTATCTATCATGGTAGGACACAAGATATTTCCAATAATCTAACCTGTAACTTTCCATTATAATGTAGTGCACATTATTGTCTCCAGATAATACAAAAAACAATGTTTTTGTCTCTTTCTGGCTGCCTTGCAGAAGAAGCTGACAGCAGAGTGTGTTTTCCGTGAGCAATTCGAGGAGAACTGGTACAACACTTATGCATCCACACTCTACAAGCACGCGGACACTGGAAGATACTATTACGTGGCTCTGAACAAGGATGGCTCGCCTCGAGAAGGCGGCAGGACTAAAAAACACCAGAAGTTGACTCACTTTCTGCCCAGACCCGTCGAGATAGAGAAGATACCCCAAGCTTACAGAGACTTGTTCCAGCATAGGTGACCAGAGCATCCGTCAGAGTTGCTGTGTTGGAGAGGCGCAGTAGAGGTGCTGGATGGGGAAGACGGACGCTAAAGAACATTAAGAAATACAAGACCCTACTTCTCTCGCCTCACAGCTGTTTATATTTGGGTTCTGGTCCAAAATGAGGAGGCCCTCTCCAATGGTGATTGAGATAAACAGTACGTGTGTGTCCTGGATGGCTCCGTTTCCTCTCCTTAATGGGTTTTAAACCACAGAGAAGAGGGAACATTCCTGCATCCAAAGCTGGAGCCAAAAGATGTCTTGAGGAAGAGGTGTTGACTTCAGGGCCTCATGACGTGTGTCATGCAATCACCCTTTCTTCAGACACTTTTTGTAAGGTGAACCACATTTTGGCCTTGTTCTCACTGGAAAAAAAAATAGGGTCTAAACCTGAATTTATTGAGTAACTTGTCACCTGAGCATAGGAAGTAAAACTGCCTTTGGCTGTTGAGATAAAACTCAACATGCCCTGTCTGGTGACCCTGGGGCCAAACTCACGTTGAAAGGTCATGAGGCAGCACTTACCAAGAAGATGGACATGGGGAGTATTCCCTGACCTTCCAGTAGGACAAATGCAAAGCTAGAGCTTTTCAAATTAAATATACCTTTAAGGGCACTTAAAAGGAGAAAGATGCTTTGAAGACCAATGACCAGCTTCTACTGAAACAATACCAATTTTGAATGGAAAAAGTACCAATTGTGAGACAGTGAAAAAGTAACAAGGCTTTATAATAATAATGGAAACAAACACCCTTTTCCTAGAGGGGCTTACACAGATGATCTTCTGTCTGCTTCCTTTGAAGGTTCAGGAGAGTTCAAACATTACAAAATTTGGTAGAAAAAGCTAATCAGCAGTAGCGAAGTGATTAGTTGAAATCACTTTCAAAGCAAGCAGGGGAAACACATGGTGCTTGCTGAAGGGTTCGGTAGAGGCTTTGGTCATTTGATTAAGAGTGACTTATAATGTTCAGGTTGTCAGGAACATTATTAAAATGTAAGTGAAAGATGTGTAAATATGGACAAACCTATTTATAAGATGTACAATATATTTATTTTCTACATATAAAGAATAATTATAAATCTATATATAAATCTATTTATTTATTTCAAAGGCTCTATTTTGTAATGAACTTGAAGTTATTGGAATTGTAGATTCTACTGAGATTATTCAGAAGGGCTAAGCTGAATGACTGACAATAAAATTGTCCTACTATTTTTTATTGTTGGTGACCATATTTGCAAGGATTCTCTGTACCAATTAAAATCTGAGAAACACTGAGCTGATTGAGTTTGACTGCACACACCACTTTTATGATAGTTTATCAAGGTACATTCATGGAATGAATGGTCATCTTTGCTAAACACAGGAACTCAAAACGCTGTGAGAGCACTAGTTATTTAAGTCAACATGATATGGCATCAGCAAACCATGATATTATCTATCTATAATATCATGTACTGTATTTGCAAGTAAAACAGGGTATTCCAAGAAAATCTTCTTCAGAGGCAGATCAAGTTATGTTTTGATGAATGATTACAAAAACAAACATTTTTGTCTTTGGAACTAGAGTGAATTCTGACTTCATATTGTCTTCAAAGTAGAGCACATCTGATATCCTCTTTCAGAAAATCTTCATGTACGGGGTCAATCAATCTATGAAATGTTGTTTATCTAGTGCAGCGTAAATTCCAGAACATCACAGCAGCATTCACAGAATAATCCAGCTCTCCAGAGATGTGGATGTTAGCTGATGATGTAAAAAGACAGCTCTTGGCTCGGGGAACCTGTGGGAAAGTTCTCCCTAAGCAGTCTGTAGAGGCATAAATCAACGCCCTACAGAAAGCGAAACAATACGAGAGAATGTGTTGCGCTGGTGGGCGTCAAACCTGCTGAAAAGCCTGCAGCACAACAACATTAATTACCTATATAATAGCGATAACGTACGCATAACTATTATTAATGAGTTTTTTGTGAATCCGATGCATTGTAAATCACATCAACACAAAACTTCCTCGGTGATTGAATGAAGATTTGGACCAGCACTGATGCTGCCCTGAATGGACTTCTATAGGGTTTCAGTCATCTTACATCATCAGAAACGAACAGAACAATCCAGATTTACAAACATTCACAACCCCACCCACCAACGATGCCTGACAACATGCTTGGCTCATTCCTGCTCGGATGATCAATAGTTAGGCATTGCAGCCAGCACGCTTGAATACTTTCAGATACGAAGTGTATAGTGCATGTTCATGAGAACGGAAGCAGGTTTTAACATTGGAGGATAGATGGGGCAACAGCTGAGCCGAAGTGGCCGAGTGGTAATCTGGGCATACCAAGGACGGGATCAACATTTCAACATCTGCAATAGTTGTAATGTTTCTCTTTTGGCAGCTTTGTGCAAGCTGTGAACGCAAGCTCCCCTCGGGGGGGAAATTTGGGCTTGAGGGGGCGAATGGAAAAGGGGGAGAAAAACCCTGGCAGCTAAAGAAATGAAAATAATAGCAAGCAGTAGAAACGACACAGCAGATGAAAGACTGAAGGGGAAGAATGGGGTGTACGAGAGGACATAATATTCGTATTAGAGAAAACGCATCTGAAATTTGGTTTTGCCGTCACAGATCTCAAATACAGTCTAGTTCATTTATTCATTTACCGAAAATAATGAATAGCTGTTTGAGTACTCACTAGTTCTTCAAAACCACAACTTCCTAGTATCGGCTTAAATCAGGGGCAAAAGTTTCTCTTGTCTTCTGGTGACCTCATCTGACTGTCAACTGCACTGCTGCATCATGGGAAGGGAGTGGCACATTTTCACATACATAAGAAACGACTAGCTAGTATGTATCGGTCCCAAAAAGTAGTAAGTAAAACCACTGTCTAGAGTTCAAGGTTGCCAACATATAGTTAGGTACTATATGTGTGTTAAGTTTAAATAAAAAGAAAGGGGGGATTACTCAAACAATATATGCCCTCTGACTCGTCTAAGTTAATTTCATACGAGTTCCCATATAGCATTCAAACTTGAAGTATCACCCAAGACCCCGATTTATTTAAGAACCCATGACACATGCTACTATAAGCAATGCGTCTCGCAGAACCATCTAAAAGAGCAAATGTCACAATTCTTGACAATTCTCAAAATTGATGAAACTGAAGATTATGTAACGAATAATATAAACGTTCATACAAAAGTTTAAAATGTTAAAAATATTTAAGAACTTTCATGACTATTCCATTACTTTTGTTCAGTGGATACATTAGCAATCGCAATTTCTTCTTGACAAAATATCTTAAAACAAAGCATCAATAGAATAATTTATATTCAACCTTTAACAAATTATTTGAAATTTCCATGATTTTTTAATTCCCCTGTTGTCTTTATTTAGGACATGGATTTGCATATAACATACTATCTGCCAGTAATTGTGCAGAAATTGCGCACACAAAAAAAAAAACCACACACACAAGCAAGAACTGCATGTAACATCCTTTTGGTCACTTTATTTAAATGTGATATTAAATACTAAGTAGCAGTTCATATTAATGGCAGAAGTTGTTGGTGTATATGCTAACATTTTCAGGAGGGGAAAAAGTTCCTCTACATTTCTGAATTGCGATCCCAACGCAAGTGGGGAAAAGAAACCGAAAGAAATAAACAACAGAAAAAGAAATTATGAACAGTTCTCACAACAATATGCTAGGCAACACTACAACGAGAAGTCTGATGTTACAAAAGTCCGGAGGAATTCAGCAAGCAGTTTTAACAACACAGACATTCCATAGCGTGATTAGCAACAACAAGTTTAAATACCTAAAAGCAGATTAGAAAAAGGGGTTTTAAAACATTAGAAGAGATCTAGCTGCTTGATATAAGGCCATTTGACTTGACGTTACATTTAAGGTGTCCGCTGCAGTGTCTCTGGAGCACTGTACCGATGACAATCCACTACTAGGAAGATATTAGCGCAGATAGTATTTACGGGGGCTCTAGAACAGAAACGCTATGGTCCCTCCTCAATCACGCTGTTTTCCTTGCAATATAATTATTTATATATGCACAGCCCTTATTCAAGGGGAAAGAAACCTGCAATGCCTAAAAGCATTTGGGGAGAATATCTTCTTCAATCTTAAATACGTGAGAGGAAAAAAACAAAACAAAAAAAACTTGAATAACATTAAGGCTATATACACAAAATGACAAACTGCACTGCCAAAAAGTCCCAGGATGCCCTCTCGTTACTGAGGAGCTCAAGTAGGTGTCCTGGCTCAATCAGTCCAGCTGTGTGTACACCGAGGGGCAGAGGCATCTACAGGCCCTTAGACGGGCCCGGGTTCTTGCCCAGCTGTGAGGAGGGGAGGCCCTGGAGCGCCCCGAGCTGCTGGTACAAGCCCAGCAGATCCATCTGATTTATGGGGCCAGTAAGACCGTTCTGCATGGCCAGCTGATTGAGCAGCAGACCCTGCCTCGCCATGGCCAGCTGCTGCTCCTGCACCTTACGGTTGGCGATCACCTTCTGCACGTACATCATCAGCTGGAGAAGAGACGGAGATCGGATGTTAATGTTCTCTTATGTGGCTTCAGAAAGTCATGCAATATCAGGGTCTCCAACAGAACTGGTGTTACTACATAACCCGTCCACAAAGCACCACATTCTTTGATTACAATAATGTATTTTGATATCCAATGCCAACAGTCAAACGCATCCATGTTTACATAGAAAAAAAACAGTGGAAAAGCAGCGCAAGTGAATAAAAAACCTGTCTGATATTTCATGTTTGCATCATGGTGACCGGCTGAAAGCGGTTGTTCATTGTTTTTACAGAACATTTATAGTTAATAAAGTGTACTGGTATTATACCTTCAGTCATTTTGAATTTGAATTACCTTGACTTTTGAGATTTTTTTTTTAAAGCATTTTTCTCGTATTATTTTTTAACATATAATATGTATAAGACAAGTTTGTACAAGATGTAGTTGTAGTTAATGCTTCTTTTCCGCAAAGATATTTAACAAGTGATTTGTTTAACATTGACATCATGTTGACAGTTTCATGTGTGCTGCACTCGGAATAGAATTTTCTTTAACTAGAGGGTTAATAAAGACAAAGCTACTTGAATCATGTTGTAGTTACATGTACAAGTTGACTAGTTAAAAATCGAGAATCGGTCAAAAAAAAAAAAAAGGGTGGTCATTTTTTGCCATATCACCCAGCCCTAAATCACAAGTTAATAAAGTAACAACTGCAACACAAAAATATAGCAATCACAAATTAGAGGTTTATGGACATTGGATTTCGCTGATGATATAAAAACCCAATAAAAAAAATAAAAAAAGACTATTTTGCCGTTACTAGTATTTAATGTTGTATTTTTAAACGCCAGATGTAGTTTATTGTATTATTGTAAAATATGCACTCTTACAACCATCTACAACATATTACAATATAAACACCATGAAGCAAACATGCCATAATTCATCAGCAGTAGATCATAAGCAATCGTTTGGCATACATGCAGTTTCCACTGATTTTGAACTGCTCTGAAACTGAGTCTGTAGAATGTGAAACAGTGCCGAATTTTTACACTGAAGCATGCAGCACTAACATTTATCGCCCTTTTTAAGTTAAATAACAACATAAGGCCTTATTGCAACATTTAAACTTTTTATGCCCTTAAATTTTATCAAACTGAATTGAAGACATTTTAGGACTTTTTAAGAGACCCTTAATTAATTTACGCATCACATTTAATTATTTTTGACAAATGGAGAATAAAGGGGTGCAACAGGGTCCCCCAGATGTAAAAATCCCTTTCATTCTATTTAGTTTATAATGTTAATGTCACTTAAACACAGATAGAACATAAGATGAGCAAACGTACAGTTTGTTGCTTGCCGAGTACATCACGGTAAATAGCCTCCCTGTGTTTGATTTCCAGCTCGTAGCCAGCCTGCCTCCCAAGAGCCATGGACTGAACCTGGGCCTCGGGTAAACTCGGGTTCTCCTTCCACTGCCAAAAACAACACACCCGTTACATCCTGTAGACCTCAACAAACAAACACTTACACGCTCATCACACACACACAAACACATTTAGCAGTTGTTCAGAACGTAGTCCAACATCTCAAGCTTAATACTGATGACACAGCAAACTATAGGCAAAAACTACAGCCTCAAAAGTGTATATTGAAAAAAAAAGCTTGCTCCATGACACTAGGGTATAGTGGCTTGATGTTATACAGGTGTTGTATGTGGTTGTCAGGTCAACAGAGCCCATCTTCCAAGTCTCTATATTATTCTGGTCTCCAAGTATGACTCAGTGTAGGTCTATAGATTTTGGTCATTTTATCACCCAACCAGAGTTTCATTCATGTCTCTAGCACAAAATGTATGGGACAACCTATGCATTAGAGGTTCAATTGGGGGAAGTACTACCAACAACAGTGATTTTTGCCTTGGCAAACACAAACTGCAGAGCAATTTTTCAGTCTTGTCAGGGAAAGTGGGTTTTGCATCAGTTATTGGTCATAACAGCCCATAGATGCAACACTGGACCTGAAGCTTTAAGGCCCTGATATACTTGAAGCAAAATCTAAAAACCATACTATTGTGAAGTCATTGCGAACAAAATCAGGCCAAAATGAAGTTTGTTTGGAGTTTCTGGAAGTGTTTGGTTCTGCTGTTAAACCCCTTCTTTTAACAGGTAGATGATTCTTTGACTTGGAAAACGTCTGCGTTTCATTTCTTCTGTTCAGACTGGCGAGGTCAGACGCGAGTTAAAACATGAACACACTGGAGAACTGCTTTATAGCAAAAACTGAAAGCGACACTGACACTTTTTTCATGTTTACTACTGTAAAGCTGCTTGCTTTAAAGCAATCTATTGTATAAAGTGTTATATAAATAAACATGACCTGACTGGAGTGCAGAATTGCAGAGCTGCACAAACTTATCCACGTTGCCATGATCAGATGCTTTCTTAACTGCTGTTTTCTCACCGCTGTCAATTTGTTGTGTTTATTTGGTTATAGAGAGGAAAGCATGCGACATTTACATATGCATCTCTTTGGGATGTTCACTAACAGTAAATTGCTGCTCAGGCATTTAAAAAACTTGTTTTCACCCCTAAGCGAAGAGCGAAAAACATCTGCGTCGTGAGTATATTAGGGCCTTTCCGACGAAAGCCTCACTGTAGGGAATCTCCCTCTCTCCTGTCACTCACCACCTGCGCGATGATGTCCTCCAGTAGTTCCCTGGGCACTGACTTCAGAGCGTTAGTGGCTTCCAACACTTTCAGCCTGCCCTGGTTAATCAAATCCTTGAACACAGAGAGAAAAAAAACTTGAGAAGACAGAAAATACTAGACGAGATGAAACAAACCTAGCAAGAAAACATTTCTGAATTTGATATTTTCACAGAGATAGCTAGCATTTGTAATGCCGATTCAATACTATCCCGATACTTCAATATATATTGCAATAATTGAGTATTGCGATTTTATAACTATTGTGATTCGATATTACACTTTATTGTGATTTTTGTCTGCTTATTGCTATATTTTATTTCAGGAGCATACACATACACAGTGTATATTTTGAGTTTTCCACTTGTAATAACGACTTTGTGGTGGCGTTCATGTGCATTCAACTCATAAATACAATTTATCCGACATGACTTGAACACACCATAATACAGCGGCGCTGCGCAGACCGATCACTGTATAGCATCAAAGCACTGTGAGAGCTACAGAGAACAGATGGCTCCGCATGATTTCGAAACGCTTTCGCAATACACCGATTGGTCTGCGCGGTGCTGCTCCAAGTCGAAACGACCTATACATGTCGCCCTCTGCTGGAATAAAAGCGGCAACTTCTCCCCACCACCTCTTAGGAAAAGTAAAATAATTAAATACAAATCGATTCTGAGATAAACCAATCGATTTTTAAATAGTTTTAAAAAGAGTCGCGATAGTTAAGTGAATCGATTTTTCCCCCCACCCCTAGTAAACAGCAGCTGGCAGGGCACAAGCCAAATGTCGGTGCCCGAGGACGCATGTCACAATTAGCTGCCGGCTGAAGGAATGTGGAAAGAGCATGTGGAGCTCATTACTTACCTCCAACTGTTGGTTACTCATGGAGGCCAAAGCAGCCACGTTGAAGGGGAAGTAAGAGTTTGGTCCTGCTCCCATGCCCATCTGAGAATAGGACGGCTGGTTGAAACGCATGGACAGCCCCTGAAACAACAGACGAGCGGGTCCATCAGTTGGAAAGAAACAGAGAAACTTAATTTAACGAGATGAGGTCACACAGAAAGATCCCAATTATAAATAATCTTCAAATCAGGTTCGGCCTCACAGATGAGTCAGCCTTCCATCACACTAGCACTTGCAGCAGGGTAATCAAAGCATTGCATTGTGGACTTTATTTTCCACTCGATTTGCGACTTTGACATGATTTGTCTGCAATCTGGCAAAGACGCACGCCGAACGATAATTCCCGGCCAACAGATCGCTGGAGGATCCAAAAAATCCTGATGTGCACCCATGTGAACCTCTGTTAGGGTCCTGCCCAAGCTGTGTTTGTCTTACGGCTCTAAACAGAACGTTCCCCTGCTGAAGGTCAGCAGGATGGCTGTGTTTGTGTGTAAATGAGCTACCGAGGCAGATGCGGCCAATCCCACCCTCTAATTGGGTCTTTGGTGCATGCAGCTCGTAAACACACTCCACAGCTGAGTGTCCGGTGTTCAGACCTGGCACGAGCAGGTGAGCACAGATGCCGGCGTGAATCGCAGCTGTGCCGCAGACCGCGGGACAATCTAAACGGACCATCTTTTAATCTGGTTTCAAAATGTGACGCTCGCTGTATGGCTGTTTTCAACTAAACCTTGAGCAGAACTCGATAGGGCTCTCTAATCACTGCAAGTGACTGCTTAAAATCCACTTTAATGGCTCTGACATAGTTAATGATTTTAAGCAACCAAATTAGACAAAGCTCTTCAATCGTAACATACACAAATAACTGTAGCAAGATGATCAAAAGCAGGTGAATTCTTTTCGTTGCATATAATAGCTATGGCCAAGTGATTCACTGATGAAATTACTTTTGATTTAAGCATATTTAAAACATCTTGCCAAAAAATAACATGAAATTTGACTAATGAGAAAGTTGACTGCAGAAATATTTCACAGGTAATCGGTGTAGATCGTACGTGATTGCAAAAGGAATAATTACAGTGAATCTGAATGGAGAAAAGGCACTTGTAATTAAATTCAACTGCAGAGTCCCACAAGGCCAACAAGTCACTTCTCTCCCAAAAACCTCCACTAATGAGTGGCTGACCTGAGGATGAAGAGTCTCTAATCTGAAGACAATGACTCGGATTGTTTGAATACTACAAAGGATTCCAGGATTAGATATAAAAAGGACACAGGCTCTCGGCCATCATCTGCACCCACAGACATGCAGGTTTCACTGCGTTTATGCAAGGGAATGATTCAACTCTCTGAACAACTAGACACTTCAGAAAAGGTGTGCTTCAATAGGTCTGGACAGAACCATTATCACCTAAAGAACACTTTCCAAGCAACAAAGCTCTTTGGTAGCTCCCACTTGTTTTATGCAGGTCTAAATAAAGCTTGCTTAGTTATGTGTCTTACAAGGAGCTATTCATTGAAGCTTTCGAAGGAATTTTATGTAAGCACATATGAATACAGTTAGCCCTTTCTCATGGTGTTCCTTAAAGTGTGGGTTAATTTCTTATGATGATATCACTTCACAATATTATTTGACAGGTGTGGAGCATCACTAAAGAAATAATCAACCTCACCAAGATTCTTAAACCACTATCAGTTATGGCCAGATACAAACAGACAATTTCAGACAAAAAAAAAAAAACACCTGAAATATGGCTAAACTCTAACATTATATTTACGAATTGATATGCAGGTATTAGAAAATATTGTTATCATTATATGTATATAATAGTAAAGGGCTTGTGTGGTTACACACCTTCTTTTCGGCCTCGTATTCGGCCCAGGCCGCCTTGCGATCTTCCTCACTCAGTGCCTCTTCCTCCTTGTGGTCCAGCAAAGAGTCATGCTCGTGGTAGCCGACGATGTGATCTTTGTAACTGTGAAGGAGTTCTGCCAGGAAAGGATCCTGGGACGGGAGAAAGGGTCAAAGAAAGATGGGTCAGCATCCCACATGAAAACACACACACAGGGCTCCAGACAAAAAAATAAAAAATAGAGTAAGGAGCCATTGGCTCCTATAAGAAACAATCTTAAGCGCCAAATTATTTTTTTAGGTGCCACTGAATAAACGTGTTTTATTTATTTTTTTAAATATATTTTATATATTTTTTTACATTTAACATTTCAATCATACTGTCATGTGTTTATGTCTCATATATTTGTTTTTAATATCATAGGACAATATCATGGACTATACTGTAAGTATCACTTGGCCACTGAGTGTAGTTTGGGCTCCTCCTCAATGCATCCTATAAATGTTGTTATATGTCTTTCACACATCTAGTCGGTTTTCTTCATTAGTAAAATGCAATTTTATAGGTGTTGATTTTTATCTTTAGCTTGCATTATTTCTTATGTAGACAAAAGGTTAAGTAAAAATATTAATATGCAATAGCTCATTAATATAGCAAGATGCTCCTCTTTATAGATGAGCTTATGGGTACCGAATGGTTATTCTGAGGTAAATGTATATTATGTTGCAATGTTTACAAGCTTTACGCGTTTTCCGCAATTTGAAACACTGAATGAGCTTTTACATGAGACATTTCAGTAAGTTGTACTGCAGGCTCTCTTATAAAAGAGCCCACCTTTAGATGTTAATTCATGTTCATTATGTACTATAGTAGACATAAAGAGAAAGATATAATTAAAGAGATATAATGGGTTCACTTGCCGCTTAAACTGAGACGCTAAAGCGATCACGCCTGCCGCATTAAAGAGCGCCAACACCGTATTTATTGTATGTTATTATTCGTTATGAATTTGGCAGAATTTTATAGCTGATACTTTGTTTATTAAAAGGTGACAAAGCACAAAGCTTATTGCGATTACTGGACGGCAAGTTAATTTTTATTATATTAATTTTAATATTTTTGGTCGCAAACGCGACCGTTTTAGTCGCAGTCTGGAGCCCTGACACAGATGTACTCCCCTAATAATCATCATCACCAACATAATTATTGAGCAAAATCAACAATTAAACATTTTTGTGTCTTATCAAACAGAAAAAAAATGTTGCTCTGGCTTAATTAAACAAAGAAGTCATATCATACATACATTTTATAATTACATTTTTAGTTTAGTCACACTTTAGTTTGGGGATCAATTCTCACTATTAACAAACTATTAACTTTAACTTTTATGTTGGTAAACTCCTAATTTGCTTCTTTTTAAACATTTAGGTACGAGGTAGGATTAAGGGATCTAAAATATGGTCATGCAGATTAATTTCTCCAAAAATTTAACCTGATTAACCTGCCCCTGGCAAGCTTTAAAAAATTTTTTTTTTTAAATAATCCGTTACACGCGAATGTACGTCACAATAGAGAAGTAAAGATGCCTCATAACAAATAAATAAATAAATAAAATAGCCAATTAGCAGTTAGTTTGTGCTGCAAAGCTAAAAATAAAAAAAAGACCGCCTCCAACCAAGTGTTGATATTTAAAATAACTTCAGAGGCTTTCATGCAACTCTGGTATCCATGACTATGCTGTTATTGAAAACAACACCTGAGCGGTGCGCAACTCACATCCAGGCCTCGTACAAACATGGTTTAAAATTACTCTACAGCTATTGTTTGCTTTTCTTTGTCTTGCCTGCGCTTTACATTGAAATGCCTTCAAGATCTAGAAACATCTGCTGGATCCCAAACACATGAACATAAACGTGTGATAGTTACGTCATCACCCGATTTAGCAGAGACAACAAACAGAATAAAACAAAAACAAAATTAATCATAATCACAACGTTCAAAAAGCAAAGCCTCGGGTTTCTAAATTTAGGACTGCTTACTAAATTGCTACAGAAAAGTTTGGATAAACAGAATCTGAGGAACAAAGTGAGCAAGCCTCAATCGTCCTCCAAAGAGCCTATCATGATTAACCAGATCAAGGTTTGTTTCAAGAAATAAAGATAACAGAAGTAAGACAGGTACCAAAAACAGAGCCATGCCTTCTGCATTACAGCAGAGTGTAATGGAGAGCGCAGCTACAGATCCGTACACATCAAGGCTTTTTAGTAAGTGGCTTCGATAGCTGGAAAATAAAAACATGTGGCGAAAGCAAGCACAATCACGCCAGGCCTGGCCTATACCCTCTACAATCCCGACTGGATGAGTGATGGTAATTTCTGGCTAAGTGGCTAAATTAAAACATGGCTGGATGCTGCCATGTGAGGAACCCCTTCTGCATCACAACCGTGAAAAAGACTGCATGGAAAAGATGATCTCTTGTTGAAAGCGTGCAGAAGACGAGGGGCAACTGAAGTGTGAGCCGCGTCTCTGGAACAAAAGACAATTTGATGATGAAGCTGTTGTTTGAGCACATTTCAAACACTCGCCATCATGAGAGGGCCGACCTGAGCTTATCTGAACATTGGCCAATTTTGAGCCGGGTAAATGGGTCACAGAGCCACTGGGTCAAGTGACGCCGTCCAGGGGAGCAGGGAATGCCAGGATTCCTGATTAATCTCCAGGCTGGAGCTCCGCGGGTGGTCTCGTCTGTCTCCGTAACCTGCCCTACACGTGCATCTCGACCGAAGGCACTAATGACGGTAACAAGAACTCCTGCATTGTCATACTGTGAGCTAACCCCATGCATAATGACGGCTTAGGAAAAGGATATCGTTTTACTCCATGCATGGATGTGGAATAGGCTGGGTGGGGGAATGGGGTAATCAGCAGAATGCAGATTTTTTTTCTCTTCTCAGGAAAATGGGGAGTGGGGATCCCACAGAAAGTCAAACGGGGGAGGAAGCATTTTGCTTCTGATCAAAGCATAGAGGTGCATGAGCCAGACTGCTGCAAGGATAAATACTGTCCCAGGTGAGGAACCGTCTATTTGCCCATGTCTGAACACCACGGTCTTGGAATATCACAACCATAGAAATTATCTCCTTGTGAGTCTTTGCCATTTTTGCCGTACCCTATGTATGTTTTTGAAAACAGATTGTAGACCTCCATAAACATCTCTGTTAAGCTTGAGTAAACTTGCATCCATTTTCCTTGGGTTTTGAACGTTTAGTTTGCATCTCACCACTAGCTTGGAAAATGTGTTTATGATGTGAACGATACACTGTGCCCTACCCAAGTATGATGCAACATTTTGTTTTATGCATTTACACTGGGCAATGTTAGAAGGTGCACCAGTTATTGAAATCAGACATTCCCAGTGACATTCCCTAAGAAGTGCACACCGACATTACTGTCAGAATAGGTTGTTTCTTGGCAGTTTACAGAATTGTTCATTACAAAGTAATTGTTCAAGAAAATTGACCCCTTTGTAGTGCTACTTACAGCAATGCTGAGAATGCAACATGTACCATTGAAATGGTGCACAATTAGGCATATATTGGCCATCTCTGTGTGCAATAGTTTATGGCAAGTCTTTTCTGGCAAAATTTTAGTTTGACCAAGTTTCGCCTGAACAGTGGCACTCTTAACACATTATTTACTGCTCAATCTCTCTGCATGATATTTTTTAAATCGCATTGAACAGCGATCAATTAAAAGCTGACAGCAATACGAATTATTGCAAGTTATCCTAAATTAGAAAGCTGAAACAGCGACACACATCATTGCTGGTGAGACAGAACATTCAAATAAACTTGAAGAGCTCTGCTCAACTACATACATTTACGACTTGGCAAACAAAGTCAATGCAAAGCAGAGAAAGGGGAGGTAACCTTTCCCCGTATGACGACATTAAGGGAAGATTCCAGATTGGGCCATCTGAGCTTTCATTTTCTCTAAGGCTAAGCAGGATACCCAGGGCTCGGTTTACACCTATCGCCATTTCTAGCCACTGGGGGACCATAGGCAGGCTAGGGGAACTCATATTAATGTTAAAAAACCTCATAAAGTGAAATTTTCATGCCATGGGACCACACGGTCCCAGATGAACTCCGCTGGTGTGAAAAACGCAATTCGGTTCAAAGGTACAAGGTCTTTTTTTCTTGCCATTTGGCTTCCTACTGAATCATTTCCAGCACATTTCCAGCTATTTCAGCTCAATTGCCTCTTAAGGTTTTTGATCACGCCACCTCATATTAAATGCAATCCATATTCGCGAACTCTATTTTATTTCACTCATTACCACGGCCATAAACATCTGCCGTGTGCTCAGGGTGTGAAGAGTGGGGAAATGGAAGTGTGACAGACTAAAGCCATAAAAAAAAGCTAAAGATACAGGAGTTTCGGAAAAGTGTGGAAGACTTTCAAAAGACAAACTTTAGATGTCTTGTTTCGATAATAAAAATGCAACTTTGCCTTCATGACCTAAAAAGGGGCATCCCGGTGAACAAAAATCTTATTTACTGCTTTAAAATGAAGAGCCTAATGCTTCCCTCAGATTTCACAAGGCACTACGTTTGACATGCAGGTGCACAAACCAAAGAAACCAAGGGGTCCGGGGCAAGAGACTCAAGGAATGTGAAGGATTGAGATATTTGTAATACCTAACCTTAGCCAGGCAAAACGTACTCTACAGCTGCACGCAAATTATACACATAACCTCAATGCCCTGATATAAACAGTCTGCGTCTGCACAGCTCTTGATGTTTGGCACAGGGCTGGATGTCAGGTGTCCATCAGGCCTGCCTCAACTATCATTCCATCTTTTCTACCATTTACTAAACGGACAATGTTAGGTGAGAACTTCTTCGAAGCACTTTAGTTCACACCTTCAGCGCTTTCATCCAAGTTGGGGCAAATATCTAAAAATGGAGGGTTGAAGGCAACCACTCATTTAAGGAACATCTGGGGGATTATTAAGACCAGTTCCTGCACCTACTTACGCCAACTAACGTCTGTTCCTTTGCTCAGCGAGACCCAGTCGGCAGGGGAGCCGGAGCGAAAGCAAATGACCACTTTCCCACCGATGGACCACTGTCAGGAAGTGTACACACCG